ATTTTTAAAAGGCATCTTTTCATGCTAAAAACACTCATAAAGTACTGAGCCCTCTAATCTTTGTCCAGTTACACTTATTTATAAAAAATACTTCATTGATCTTGTGTTAATGTGTATGAATGGGGAAAGAACATAACTGATGCCAGATGAGGAGACTGGGTACTAGTTTTCTCTGAAAGCATCATTAGTAGACAGCCTTGATCCAAGACATAGCACCTATGGTTTCCGCAACTCTGTGATTCTCCTTGAGATTCTACTTTGGGACGCTATACATACTGAGATGTATTGTCTTTGTCCACTAAGGAAAATTTATTTATCACTATAATCTAAAGTGTAGATTAATAAGAAATAATGTGAAAAGTACAAAATCTTATATGCTTATTCATTAGATGTGAAAACAGCTGATTCTGATCTCTTTTGTTTCCTTCATTATCATGCCTTTTATCCTTCATGTTTGTTAATGCACTGTTAGCAGAAAAATATTTTCTTCAGAAAGTTATAAGAAACAGATAGATAACTGCCTACATAATTAGAAACATTTCATTACATGCTGGCAAACTTAAAGTGTAGCAAACTTTAGAAATGTTGCTCTAAATGGATATTTTTGCTTTTCTAGCCTAATTTAACCTTGCCATCACCCCTCCCATCTCTGAATGAATCTTCACTTTCCCATCTCTCCAGACCCTGCTTCCCAAATCATGTGGTACACAGCCTCCATCTCTCAAGAGAGCCAAGGACTATTTGATTTCTTTTAAGCTCTTAAATTATATGGTTTCATGAAATGAGAGGCTTTACTTTAGTTAATAAGGATCTCTACTAAAATTGAGGGGTAGATTCAGAGTAGGTACTACTACCTCCTGTGTAGAGTCCAGTATGTACTCTGTAATCCTGCTTCCTGGTGGCTGGGAGGAGCTGGTTCAGTGTGAATGCTCTGAAATAATGGGTTCTGAAGGCTCAGATGGTGGGAGGATGATTATCCTGGGTGGCCAGAGGCAGCTTTTTTAAGGGAGTGAATCCACGTCATTCTTAGAGTGGGAAACTAAAGTTCTAACTTGGGAGGTGGAGCTGATCGTCAGATCTAACTTGTATGGCAAGGACAGGAGGTGATTAGGTGGCTGAAAGCTAAGAGGTTTGGGGAGAATTTGGCAGATAGAGCATGAATCTGCCCAGACCAAGAAGTTTAGGAGTAGGGCTATACAAAAGAACACTTGCTTATTTAGTGACTTTAAGTTCCCCTTGGCAAGTCTGGGGCTGCTCTATATACTGGCTAGTGGCCAGAGTTGTGCTTGGTGGGGAAAGGAAGTGTTGGGACAGGAATGAATTATTGTTGGAAAGGGTATTCTTGGATCACAAGATACTGTGTTAATTACGTGCAGCCTGGGTAGTGGTAAGGTATGTGGCCCAACAGAAGTAGTGGTATTTGAGCTGAGCTCTAATGATGAACAAAAGTCTAATAAGCAGAGGGAGATGTGGAGAAATATTCCAGAGACACAGAATAGCACAGGTGAAAACAACCAATATAATATAAGCTATATTTTGGGAACTATTAGTAGCTAAACATGGCAGCATCATGGATATTCGAATATGAGAAGAGAGGAAAAATAAAGTTGGTAAAGAATTGAATTAGTTTAGAGTCACATTATTGATGACTTTGGATTTTAGGCTGAAGGCAGTCAATGGTAAAGTCCTTGAAAATTTTGAATAGTGGAGTTCCAAGTAAGAGGGTAAATTAAATATACACATCTAATTCCATTGCCTCCTGAAATTCTACTAAAACTAAAAAAATTATTTTAAATTTCTTTTAAAAATTTATATTTATTTATTTTGACTGTACTGCATCTTTGTTGCTGTGCATGGGCTTTCTCTAGTTGTAGCGAACAGGGGCTACTGTAGTTGTGGTGAGCGGGCTTCTCAATGTGGTGGCTTCCCTTGTTGCAGAGCACAGGCTCTAGAATGTAGGCTCAGTAGTTGGGGCTCCTGGGCTCTAGAGCACAGGTTCAATAGTCGTGGCGCACAGGTTTAGTTGCCCTATGGCATGTGGGATCTTCCCAGACCAGGGATCATACCCATGTCCCTTGCATTGGCAGGTGGATTCTTAACCTTTGGACCACCAGGGAAGTCCCTGTTTTTTAATTTCAAGTACAAGAATATGAAAGGAGACAACAGTTTGGAATCTGAAAAATAGCTAGATGCCTGGTAACTAACTTAGCAAGGAAGGATAGCCAAATCTTTCCTGTCAGTGTGGAAATCAAGAAACAACTCAATTTATACCCTAGGGTTATCAAAAGCCTCAGGAAACAGCGAGACTGGGAACCAATTGAGGACGAGGGTAAGGGACCAAACAAGGAAGACTGGGTAAAAGTTACGTGAGAAGCTGAGCTCTCTTTTCCCCCTCTGCACTACTGGGCAACTTTCCTCTCCCACCCTGGCAGAAATCTGGAGTCTTGTTGGCTGGAGATGGAAAAGCAGAAGCTGTTTGAAAAAAAGATATCTCACACATTTGAGAATGGTGTTACCATACTGAAAACATATGGACAAAGTAAATTTACACAGACTGAATAAAGATTGCAGATATCCCACCACTAGCACATACACAGTCACATGTGCACATATCCTCCTCTTCTCTCACTTTTCTCCCAAAATTCTGGCAGAGAAACTTCCATCTTTCAGGCAAGATATTGGAAAACCACCAGCCCAACAGGAAAGACTTAAAGATGGTTTCCCAGTGAAGTCCTCCTACTATTATGCCCATTTTGCTAATGAGGAAACATAGGCACAGAGATGTCAAATGATTTACTCAAGGTCATTCATTTAGTATTTATTTGTATGTAAAGTATGTATGTATATGTATATACATATTACATATGTGTATGTATGTATATACATATTACATATGTGTATGTATATGTATATTCATACTAAACACTGACACACACACATATATAAGCATAGTGTATCAATGGAAAGAGGCATAAGAAGCTGGAGATCAGAGCTGTCTTTATGTGGCTAAGGAAAAGGAATGTGAGGGAGACCTTCCTACTTATTGCCTTGTTCCTTTTGATGTTTGGACAAAATGTAGGGTAAGAGACAATAGACTGGGATTATTTTATTGGTGATTGTCATGTTCTCAGGATGAGGAAATAAGAGCTTGAATGAGAAAAGAGGGGGTGGATGCTAAAGCTGGAGGAATCTTTGCCTGGCCTGGTGATGACCAGATGTGGCAGGTGGGTGGGAGTGGGCAGTGGGTGCCAAGAGAAAGGCCAGAGGGCAGTGGTCAGAGATGACTCCTTGCTTTCTAGTCTGGGTTCACAAACATGGGGACACTGAGTAGACAAAACTGGCTTCAGAATGGCAGAGGAGGGTGGATTGCAAAAGAGTAATAAGTGACAGGGATGGTGGGAGAGGAATTAGAGTCAGCAACAGTAGCTCATGTTTTCTCTAATCATGCATTTGTCATGTCATGTGCCTTATCACCCACATATTCTGGACTTATGAGATGATGGAATGGCTCCTGGAAAATTCAGTGATCGGTCTTTTGGAGGCACCGCCTTTGGAAGGCTGAGGTAGTGTAAGATGGAGTGTGGACATTCAACTGGCAATCAACCAAAATGCTGCCTGTCCCCTGGCCAGAAAACACAAGGCTGGGAAATAGAAGGGTGGAAGGGGCCACGATTCACAAAATTTCCCCCAGCTCTGTCACTCACTAAGTTAATGACCTTGGGTAAATCATTTTCACCTCTCCTTACCTATGTTTCCTCATCAGCAAAATGGGCAAAAGAGCCCAATACCTTCATCATAGCATTGTTGTGAGGATTAAATGGGATAGTGAGTTTAAAGGTTTATAAGAGCGCTTGGCACAGAATAAACACCAGTAATAATAGCTAGTACTGTTATTACAACTCATGATCACTTTTCACCTTACTTGGGGTTCTTTCTCCCAGACTTGGAACACGGAAGGCCTAGACAATTTAATACACAAGAGGAGATGTTTTCACCAGAGGGTATGCTAATGTTCTGTTCAGTCCTTATACAAATGTTTTTGAGGTACTATCTTAGGTGCCTATCTTAGGTACTATCTTACTCACTGGTGAAGAAATTAGACACATCCATGCCCTCATACAACCTGGATAATTTTCTTTTTTACACAATTTCCCTAGCTCTTCTCATATGCCATGTATTTATTTCTAATTGGAATATAATTGTCATATAACACTGTATTCACTTTATGTGTACAACATAACAATTTGACATAGTATTTATTAAGAGATCACCTCAACAATTTAACATTCATCACCACACATAGTTACACAATTTTCTTCTTGTGATAAGAACTTTTAAGACGTACTCTCAGCAACTTTCAAATATACAATACAGTTATATGCATTTATTTTATAATCAAAGTATTTTCAAGGAATACATTTTTACACTAAGCTTTTGTTTGATGTACATACAGTCACACATTACATGGTATAAAACATTACAAACTGAAAGGCAAGTATCCCTTCCTTAACTTCAGATTTCCTGGTTACCCTGAGAAACAACACCCCTTATATCTCAGTACCTAGGTAAACATAGAATCATGTAAGACACCCTTACTTATCCAATGGTTAAAGGAAAGGGAAGAGGAAAGTGTTTGGAGTGAGTCGGGGCTTTTAGCTAGGTGACTGGAGACTGGGGCTATCTTAGCACTATCAAGAGGAAAGACATAACTTAGGAGGATATAGGGAGTGATGTCAGACTGTAAGTATTGCTGAAGTAGAAAATTTAGACTTTTACATCATTTTAATGGGCTTCCCAGGTGGTGCTGGGGGTAAAAAACCCACCTGCCAATGCAGGAGATGTCTGAGACAGGGGTTTGATCCCTGAGTTAGGAAGATCCTTTGAAGGAGAGCATGGCAACCCATTCCAGTATTCTTGACTGGAGAATCCCGTGGACAGAGGAGCCTGGAGGGTTACAGTCCATAGGGTCGCAAAGAGTCGGACACGACTGAAGCGACTTAGCACACATCATTCTAATAGAAATTCATTGAGACTAGATACATGTGTATGTGTAACTGAACTACTTTACTGTACACGCAAAAACACCACAACATAATCAGCTATCTTCCAATATAAGCTAAAAAGTTAAAACACACACACACACACACACACACAACATGTTGGAGTCTAATGAGGATGCTTAGAGTCTAATGAAGGCGAGGGCAGGGCAGAGAACACAGCTGTTAACTATTACAGGTTTAAGCATGGCTAGCGTAGCCATCTACAACGCTTCAGGGTCCTTTATGTAAAACAAACGCGCCATGACTGAGCAGCTGAACAACAACAACAAAGTGTAGAATGAGAACTACTTTCTGCAGCGTGGGCCTCCCAGAGTTCTCTTTAGGTTTGGACTGAGGCTTCTCCATCCATTAATGATGCTGTCTTAGAGCCAGGGTCCTAACTCATTTCTACTGGGCTACTATATTCCTCTCCTGTGCCCAGTTTTCCGGTTGTTGAGAGATGACACATAGACAGTCCCCAGAGCCCTGCTCTGGGACAGCTGGTATGGGCTTAGTCAGCCTCAGGGCAATGTGCATTTTGGTCCTCTTAATTATGTTTCAACTCCTTCACTCTCAGTCATTCATTGAAAGAGACCTAGGCCTCCTTCCATCACCCCATTATTAAGATGATAGCTCTCCCTCTCCAGCTCTGGTGAAACATTACAACAACCTGGCTATCATCAAAACCCTTTCCAACCTCCAAGGAAACTGCTGTCGGCCTTAGGTCCATTTGGATAACTGTCCATCTGTTGTTCTTCCCGGGGCTTGTTGAAGAATTGCACACACTTAACATTCATTTGCATTTCTATTGGTCAAGAGCTTTCATTTTTTTTTTCCTATTTTGAGTATTGTGATCTCTCTATTGGCTGTCTCACAGTTGCCCCAGGCCACTGTCTCATTTTTTTCCCCAAGAAGAGAAGCAGAGTTTATTATGCACAGCATTCTTCAGCTTTATCCAACAGTCTTTGCTGAGGCTCAGCAGTAGCTTCTTGGGCAGGTGGATCCTCCTTAATATTAGCATCAGCCCCGATGGTAATGGCTACAGAACTGGTTCCTTCTCTGTCTCTCTAATTTCCCAGATTTTGAGTTGGTCTGCTCATTGTTGTCAGCACGTTGGACCATCATTTTCCTTACTGACCCTCACAGAGGGACTAGAACTCCTTAGCAGAGTGTGGACTTTTCTCAGTAATTACATTATTATAGTACATATTTCTCTATACTTCAAAACATTATAAGGCCATAAAATACATAACTCCCACCCAGACTGAAAAGGTAGTTGTTCAGTCACAGGTATACAAGATGGAATGAGGTGCTATCTGAGATTCAGAGTAGATAAAAGCCATGATTCCAGGAATTGGGAGTTCTACGTAAAACATTATTTATAAAATTAAGAAAAGAGACCAAATCTGAAACACGAGTTGTTAATCTCACACATGATTCCTGAGCCAGGAATCAGTTAGATGGGCTTGACTCTTAAGTGTGTTCTGAAATGAAAAGAAACAGTTAAAATCTGCTCCTGTCAATGAGAGCAGAGCTGGCATGGTACGAGGCTATTTTACTTGGAGGGAATTCTGAAGCCCCTTGCTAATATTAATAGTAATATTTTCTTGCCTTCTGAGAAGGTTTAGAGAGACAAGAAAAGGTCAGTCAAAACTTGAAAAGGAAAGCATATAAAAACAGATAGTTATATGGCATTTACTCTTTAATTAAAAATCTGTAGCACTTTTGTTGCCTGAGGCTGTCTTTGAAATGTTAACATCACTCTGGACTTCATCAGATCTGTCAGGTTCTTGGAGTTCTACTCTGGAAAAATAGAGAAAAGAATTTGGTGAGATTTCACAGTATTATTTTTCTAGAGCCACTTTCTAGAGCCACAGTATTCTTTTTCACAGAGCTACTTTCTTTTTCTAGCCTTCAGCAATGGAATATAACATAGGAATGAGCAATGGCATTGCAGTAGCAATGAAGAGAAATAAACAATTGAAGAGATGTGCCATCCATGCTTCCTATTTACTCTGTCTGATTTTTGTCTGGGCCTGCCACTGCCAGATGCTGATTCCCTGGTGCCTTCCCTCTGTAGGTTCTTCCAGACCTTTTCTGAGCTGGCTTTGACAAGGGAGCGTAGCACCTGGGCTCCATCCAGGATTCTGAGCCTCAGTATCCGGTATATCCAGGTGAGTGCAGGGCACACTGGAAGCAATGTATGCTGGGGTCATGACTGTGTCTTTTTTTGACTTAGGGTTGCTTTGACTTCATGACTGTGTGACTAGTGCTTCAATATTCTTGACAGCCCAGTTTCTCATGGTGTGTGGAGGTATAATCTGACTACCTCATTGTGTGAAAAGGTGGATTGGCAGGAATCTTTGTGTATTCCTCCATGCATCCATCCATTCTTTCAAGAAATATCTATTTTAATAACCAAGATATGGAAACAACCTAAGTGTTCACTGATGATGGATAAAGAAATTGTCACTTATACACACACACACACACACACACACACACACACTCAGTAGACTACTACTCAGCCACAAAAAAGGAATGAAATCTTGCTATTTGTGACAAACATGGATGGACCTTGAGGGTATCATGCTAAGTGAAATAAATCAGACAGAGAAAGACAAATACTGTATTATTTCACTTATATGTTGGAATTTAAAAGTAAAAAAAATAAATAATCAAAAAAAATCAAGCTCTCAGATACAGAGAACAGACTGATGGCTGCTAGAGCTGGGGTTGGGGTAGGGAGGTGGGAGAAATGGTTTATTTAAACTAAAACAAACTAACTTTTTTTTTTGTTTAAATAAATTACATAAAAAAACTGAAAACTTGAACCCCTTAAAAAAGAAAAAAATTACCTCACCAAATTCTGCATTCCATAGCCCTCATATGTGAACAAAAGATAATGCAAAGGAAAGGATATACACATTGCTTCTTATGCCATATTTAGGGTTACTTAAGTGCTGTTCTTGTTTGGATTTGATTAGATAAAGTATCTACAAAGAAAGCTAAATAAGTGAAAAATAAATACAAGTCAAACAAAAAATTGTTGCTCAGCTGAAAGCAAACGTAAGAGAGACTAAAACTCCGATGAACAATGTTTATTTTTCCACAAAAATCCTTTCAACATTTTATATACTCGTCAAACCATTAGATTGTAAATTCTATAAATAAATCTCATCATCTTTCAATGAATTTTCACCATGAAAATTACAACTACTGAAAACTGTTAGTATTATTAAAAAGCTACTTTCTATAGATTCAAGCGTATTTGCTGTTTCAATTTCACAGTTTAAAAAAATTATTGAGTACCTACTATACTATATGCCAGACACTTTTCTAGGTTCTGGCAGCACAGTGATGACCTTCACTGATACATTCCCTGCCCTCTGTAGAGTTTAATTTGGTTAAGTTTGTAGAGTTTAGCCTTATACCAATATATAAGTGTAACCTGGTGCTATAAAGAAAAGGCACAGGAATCCATAAGATACTATAACAGGATGACATAATCTAGTTTGGGAAGGGTTTTTTAGAAAGTGCAGCTTAAGTCAAGATCTGAAGAATGAGGTACAGAAGTGGCAAAGAACATTCCAAGCAGAGGACACAGCAGATGCAAAGACATTGAGGCTAAAGGGTACCTATTATCACTTCTCACTTATGTATTTATTCATTCCACAAATGTAGGACACCCACTGGTCCAGGCATTGTGCTAGGTACTGGGGTTGCCATGGTGAATAAGATGCAGTCTATGCTCATCACATCAGACCCTTTTGGTATTTTTTTCCCTTGAGGACAACTGAGCTTGCCATGACCCTTGGGCACTGTGCACAGGGCACACTGCCATCCATTTATAGCCATGATGTTTTTCTCCAAGTCCAAACCAGTCTCACTTTCCTTTTCCTCTCCAAATATGCTGAGGTCCCAGCATGCCTCATACCAAGCCTAGTTAAATTATAGACTCTGGGGATTGTACCTCTTTCAATAATGTTGTAGGGTCAGAACTCACCTTTTCTCAGTCTGTTCACTCTCTTTCCCCTCCACTTTGATGATTTCTTAAAGAGACAAAAACAACTTCAGAAAACGTATTTCCCATAGATACTATAAGAGGGAAAGTTTGAAGAGGCTCCTAAGTCCTAGGACCCAGAGAAAATTGTTGCCATATATATGGAATAGATGGTTCCTTCATGAAATTTCATGGGGACTGAGAAGGAGCTTCTTTCATCCCAAAAGTAAATGCCTTCTTTTGCTCATTGTGCCTTAAGTTCTAACATTGGGGATAGGTTTTACTTATAGCTCTATTCTTTACTAAAATAAAAATGTTACTGAGAGGTGTACCACATATAGTTTTAGCAAACATTTAATGATGGGGAAAAAAGTTTCCAGTCCTTTTCTGAAAGTAAGGTTTGGAAGGAGGCAGAAAAGGAAATATTGAATATGTTGACACCCTACTGGGTTATCCAACTGGTGCTACTAAATAATACACAATATTGTATGGACAGGATCAAGTGGGAAATCTCTAGTGAGCTAGACCTCCAAACACCTGAGTTACTACTGGCATGGACTCACTACTGATGCAACTTAGGGAGAAAATTTCTCTGGGTTGACAGTTGTGATGGTGCTATTATCCCACTGACAGCCTTACAGCAGGGGTTGTTAACCCAGGGTCCATGGAGGAATTTAGAGACCACAGCAGTCCTTTCAACAATACTGATGGTTTTGAACACTTCCTGTCTTTAGCGGTTCTGTTTATGTGTATGTGTCTGAAAATAATCAGCTTTATTGAGATAAAATACTCAGTAAAATCCAATCATTTTCCATACAGATTTTGCTGAGTCTAACAAATGTATGCAGTCACGTAACTACCACTATAACCAAGATATAGAACATTTATATAAGCACAAAGTGTGCCCTCTGGCCTTTTTCAATCAATTTCTTTCTCCCACCCATCCCCTCTAACCACTGATCTGCTTAATGCCACAACGGTTTTGCTTTATTCTAGGATTTCATGTAAATATGATCATATATTGTGTAGTCTTTTCGTGCCAAGTATCTTTCACATAGCATAATATTTTTGAAATTTATTCATGCTGTTTCATGTTAGCAGTAGCCCATTCCTTTTTATAGCTCAGAGATATTTCCTTGTATGTATATGCCACCATTTTTTATCCATTCACCAACTGTAAAAATTCAGCATGTCAGGTTTTCAGTATTATGAAGAAAGCTGCTATGGACACGTGTGTGTGTGTGTGTCTCTGTGTAGACATATGTCTTTGTTTTTCATAGATAACTACCTAGGATTGCTGGGTTGTATAGAGGAACATGAGAATTTCATTTGCTTCATATCCTCTCCAACATTTGATATTTACCAGTCTTTCAAATTTTAGCCATGTTAGTGGGTGTATGGTGGTAGCTCATTATGGTTTGAATTTGTGTTTCCCCAGTGACTAATGACATGTGACTGTGTGACTGTTGCTTATTGGCCACTTGTGTATCTTTTTATGTTAAGTATTTTTTCAAATCTTTTGCTTTGTGACTTTTATATGAATTATCTTCTTATTGAATAGCATCACATAATTATATATTCTGCCTATAAGTTCTTTATTATATGTATATTTTGCAAGCATTTTGTCATAGTCTGTGACTTGACTTTTCATTTTCTTAGTAAAGTCAAAGGGCAAAAGTTTTAATTTTGATGAAGTTCAGTTTACTAATCTTATCTTTTTATAATACGATTTGTGCTTACTGTGTCCTAAGATTTGCCTAATCTAAACTCACAAAATTCTTCTGTTTTCTTTCAAAAGTCCTTTAATTGTATCTCTTATTTTAGGTTTATAATCCACTTTGAGATATTTTTTGGGTGTCCAGGTCCACTGTCTACCATTTGGATACCTAACTGACCCAATACAATTATTGAAAAAACTATCCTTTCAGCTTGGAATTAACTTGGCACTTTTGTCAAAATCAGTTGACAAAATCATGTGAGTTTATTTTTTGACCTTCTATTTTGTTCCATTGGTTGATTTGCCTGTCCTTTCATCAAATGTCACACCATCTTGACTCCTGTAGGTGTAAAACAAATCTTGAAATTAGGTAGTATAAGTCTTCCATCTTTGTTCTGACGTTTCATAATTATTTTGGCAATTGTAGATCCTTTGCATTTCCATATAACTTTTAGAATAAGCTTTTTAATTTCTACTAAAGTGTCTGCCAGGATTTTGATATTGCATTGAAATTAAATATCAATTTGAGAAGATTTTATCTTAATAGCTAGTCTTCTAAACCATGAGCATTGCGTAATTCTCCATTTATTTAGATCTACTTTGATTTCTGTCAGCAGTAATGTTTTTTAGTTTTCACTATATATATATATATATAGGTATCTTGTACTTGTTCTTTTTTAAATTTATTCCAAAGCCTTTAAGATTATTTGATACTACCTTAATTGGTATTAAAAATTTCAATGTACAATTGTTTGTTGTTAGTATATAGAAAAACGATTGATTTTGTGTATTGACCTTGTATCCTGTGACTTAGCTACACTCAATCAGTTCTAATAGCTTTTAATGGATTCCTTAGGCTTTTCTATAAACATACTCATCTTACCTGCCAAAACAAGGCAGTTTTACCTCTTTCTTTGCAATATGTATGCCTTTTATTTCTTTTTCTAGAGTTGTAGCACCGGCTAGGACTTCAGCACAACGTTGAACAAAAGCAGGGAGAGTGACACACTTGCCTTGTTCCTAATCTTAGGTGAAAGCAGTCTCTTATCATTAAATATAATGCTAACAAAAGATTTTGGTAGATGTCTTTTAAATTCAATTCAAGAGTATTCCTACTTTTATGGGAGTTTATCTTTCTTTTTAAAAATTATGATGTGTATTAATTTTCCCAAATGCTTTTTTCTGTATCTATTGACACATATTTGGTAGGTATCCCCTTGATTTCTCTTTTTAGTTCTTCAATATGTTGAATTTAATTGCTTGCTATTTGGATGTTGAACTTGCTGTATATTATTAGAATAAATCCCACTTAATCATGTTGTCTAATATTTTAATACATTGCTAAATTTCATTTGCTAATTTTGTTGAGCATTTTGGCATCTATGTTCACAAGGGCCATATGTGGTTTTCTTGTCTTGTAATGTCTTTTTCTAGTTTTGTTTGGTATTAGGGCTCCCCCTGCCTTCAGAGCAGCCTAGAAACTGACTCCATCCAGTAAGTTGTGGATATCACAGGGCTCACCTCATCTTTTCCCTTCTCTTAGGGACTGCAGTTTTCTGTAGCCTGTTGTCCAAAGTCTGAAAACAGCTGTCATATCTATTTTGTCTGATTCTAGTTGTTTACTGCAGGAGGGCAATTTCTATAGCAGTTAATCCTTCATGGGAGGAAAGAGAAGTCTATGTCTTCTATATAATTTTAAAAGAGCTTTAATTGTTAGAAAAATCTCTTATTTCCTTCTACCTTCTTATAACCTTTGTCATTAAGATGTCCTTTAGAGCTTCAGTTAAGTATGATCTTGCACCCTATGGCAGTTTTCTGATATTTAAAGGCAGCACTTGTGTACTCCTTAAGGCTTTTTGTCCTGGCTGAGCATTCTCAGTTATTTCTTATTTGACTGATATTCCAGATACTTTATAAATCTAGTTAGGTTCTATTATTGTCAAAGTTTCTCTTAAAAATAACAGTGCTTATAGGTGAATGTAGTACTTCAGGATATCTGTACACTAACACAAATAATTATATTATCCTTCATACTCATGACAAAATCACCACCATTTTTTAAAAGGCTTGTTTTAAAATGTAAGCAGCAATAAGAAGATGGATTCTAAACTTTTGGATTTGATTTCAAATTTAGCATTTTGAAGGATAGATATGATGAGGTCTCCTGGTTTCATTTTTTAAGCCCTGTGAAAGTTTCTGTTTAAATGGTTAAAAATGAATTATTTTAGAAACTACATTTGTCCTTTAAGAAATCATTCTTGAAAGAGCTGAGACTGTCCCAGATTTGGTAGAGGGGGGCAAGTTATAAAAACTGGAGGTTGCTAAGCACTATTATAATACAAATTTTAGTCACACAAGACACAAATGAGGAAGTAAAACTTTAGGAGGAGCTATTTTAGTGTTTCTCCCCAATAGGTAAGCTGACAGGGTAACTTCTGATTGGGAAAAGACAGTAATTGAAGGTTGCAATTTCTCATGCCTTCACTGCCCTATTTGACAAAACCAAAATAGAGAAGAGGGATAAGAAACCAGCTAAAACAACCATGGCCTTTCCCTTTTATTCATTTAACAACCTAGAAAGGGTAAATATGTATGGCCGAGGAAGAGAAAAACTGGAATTACCAAACACTGGAAAGGACTTTTGACACCAAGTTAGTTAGTTGGAGAGTTGTGTACCCTGAGAAAAGGCATATTGGATTAGGAGGAAGCTGCATTGTTGGAGAAATTTCTACTCATCAGTAAGCTTGTTTCTCTGTGGATAGGTCATGACTGTTTCCATAGTCATTGGCAGAATTTTGTCCCTTGTGGACTGAGATTCCCATTTCCTTGCTTACTTTCATAGCCAGCTGAGGACCGTTTCCAGTTTCTAGAGGCCATCCACATTTCTTGGCTCAGGGCCCCTCCCTCTGTCTTCAAGAGCAGCAATGGTGGGTCAAGCTTGTCTCAAGCTTTGGCTCTCTCCTTCCATTTTATCTTTCTAATCCAGATGGGAAAGCTTCTCTGATTCATATGATTAGATTGGGTCTACCTGGATAATCCAGGATAATCCCATCATTTTATACTAATCATATATGAAAAAATCTTTTTCCATGTAGGATAACTTATTATAGATTTTGGGGTATATGAGATGGATATCTTGTTGGTGGCATTATTCTGCCTATCATATAGCCAATGCGAAGGGTATCCACAAGCAAGTGCAGACATCGCTAAAGTTATAGAACCCGCTTTTACAGACATCTCATATCCATGTGGCCTGGTTCCTGAGTACCTCTCCCTTCTCCAGTGATATCAAGGCTATTCTCTTTGACCAAATTTGCTGGCACAGGTGACTATCTGACCAAATGATGTTTCCTACCAGTATTCTCTGTCATATTCTTGAGAGGCTTGTGTATGTATTATGCTCTCCCTTGTGGTTTTCTGCCTTTTAACACTCATATCTCAATGTGACCATCTAAAACGCAACAGATAGCTTCTTGAACATCCTTCCAACATTCTCATGTGTACAGACACGTCCCCTTTAACTTCCTTATCTAGTCTCCTGAATTTTTTCTGACTGCTTATTAGGGGAAGAAACATTTTTACCTGCCTTTCCTCCATCCCTTTGCTTTGTTTCATTTGTAAGCTAATTGCGTGTGGGTTCTCAGTCACTAAATCATGACCAACTCTTTGTGATCTTATGGACTGTAGCTGGCCAGGCTCCTCTGTGGGATTGTTCTCGGACATTTCCTCTGGCAGGGAACCTTCCAGATCCAGGGATCGAACTTGAATCTCCTGTGTCTTCTGCACTGGCAGGTGGATTTTTACCACTGAGCTGTCTGGGAAGCCTGCATAAGCTAATCATTTCATTGCAAAAGCAAATTTAGGAAACATCTTATTTCCAAGCAGAGGGTGCATCTGCACATTTACCTAAATCTAAATGGCAATGAGATTGAGAGAGAAATAGAAGTTAAAAACTCTTGCTTTGAAAAGTCAAAGCCTGGACAAACATGATACATCTGTAATCTGACCCTGTGCTGGGAATTTTACACTTTTATATCACAGAAATCTCTCAGTACACCCTGTACTTTGGCAGTTTGAATGGTTCTGCCATATGCTTTGTGTCAATGTATTGAAATTGGACTATCACCTCCAAATTTACTGTTTTTGGAATACAACAGGATGAAATGAATGACTACTAATGTCTATTTATTTTCTTAAAATCTGTACCTGAAATCTTAAGATGATGACCAGAAGCATTACTTATCTTGTGCTTTTTACCATAAATGAGTGAGGAGGATGTACCTTAATTATTAGCACCAACCAAACTTTTACTGGAGGCAATTAGTGAGATAAAGTCCAACTTTATCTTACAACATCATCCAAACCAGCCTTAATCACAAACAGGCATGGAATTCTTATAAAGGCAGGGACCACTTTGCTCACATTAAACATAGGACATTTTTACAACAGAAGTCAATGAGGAGGCTACTCAATGCAGTGCTGTTTGCAATAGAAAACTATAGGAGCAACCCAAATGTCCAACAGAAAGGACTTAGTTAAATCAATTAAGGTGTATCCACATAATGGAGTATGTTGGAGCCATTTTAAATGATGCTACAGAATAATACTTAGTGGCACTAAAAATTTTCTTCCTACATTTAGTATAAAACAGTTTGAAAACAGTATGTTACATTATCCAAACTGTGAAAAACAGTCCTCATAGTACTATCCCATTTGTGGAAAAGTAACAGATTAATACATAGAAAAATCTGGAAGATATACACTAAAATGTTGTCTGCATAATCATTTTTTTTCTTACTAGTGGAACTTTAGAAAATTTTTATGTTCAGTGTATGTGGTAATGGATATACTTGGTAATCATTAAGAATTAATATTATAGTTTAAAGTCAGTGGGGCATAATTCATCTAACTTACTTCTTAGGAAACCAAGACTTTTAATAGATGAGAAGGAAAATCTTATGGTCACATAATCCTCCCCTTCTCCCACCAAACATCCTTGCTTGAACACCATCAGGTCCATAATCATGAATGTTTAGGAGAGTTTTCGCCCTTTTACTTTGTTGAATTCTCACAGTGACCTCATGAAGTAGGTAAACCAAGAAACAATTAGGTTTGTCTGGAAATGAGGAGTACATTTGTAAACCTTAGGTTAGAAACGTTGCCTTTCCTGGAAAGCCAGAGCCACCTTATTGGCTCTTACTCCCACCTATATGGGCTCCAGACCCTGGGAGAAACTTTTCCTCCAAAAACTTGCTGACTCTTTGCTGGTCTGGGCTCAGCCAGGGAGCTCCAGAAGGCAGCTGATCAGGAAACAGCTGCAAAGTGGCAATCTGCAGAAAGGACAAGCACTGACTCACCACATTCATTAGAGGGGCCAGGCTGCTGCTTCTTCCTTTTCTTTAGTGTTAGAAACACCATCCCACACACAATGACCACTGTTACAAGTACAGCCGCAATCCAGAGGATGTGGTCTGGGACAGGGGGGCTTGGCACAGGTGACTTTGCATCTAGAAATGAACCCAAGTTTGCAATCAGCCAGGAAGGTTGATTATAAAAGTTTTATAATTACTGCTCTTCTCTTTCTTTACAAGCCAGCATCTCCTCAGGGCTCTACTGCCAGAGGAGCCTGAAACTCACATGATTTTGGCCAAAGAGAATCCCAGTCTCAGGGCCTCAGCAGCTGACTAAGAACCAAGCCAGAAACTCTGATCCATTGCCTGGACTAGCTGTCTTGCCTTCCCTTCCCAGAGGCTGGGATGACAATGACCCTGATGATCTAGAAGAGGGTCAACTTGGCCCTTGGTTGTGGAATCTGGGCAATGTATGTACACTGAGGCTCTGAAGGTACAGACAGCTGGGCAGCATCCTGCTTCCTCAACCCCCTCCATGGTCCTGAATTTTCCCTTAGAATAAGTCCTCTGTCCAATACCATCTGAGTATCAGGCTCCAGACACTTCTCACCCAGACAAACACAACAGCCGCCTCATAGGCCTCCAGTCTCCACATTTATTTGTTTGTCCCCCTGATGTCACAGTGGACTTTCTCAACACAGCTTTCAATATGTCCCACCTACGGTAAACCTTTGATAGTTCTTCATGCCCTGAGGAAATCAGGGTCAGAATCAGCTCCTGAGAAATCAGGACTTACTTCCTTGTACATGGATGCCTAAATTTCCAAGAAGTTAGTAAATAGGCTTTGGGAGGGAGAAATAGAGCTGAGTGGCCCATTTTATAGACATTTATGAGAACAGGTCTGGTAGTTAATCTCAAATAACAGGAGACTAGGACCAGTTGACCTCCCATTAGCTTAGGGGCAGTTTGTGGACCCACACCGAGTTCCTGGGACCTTAAGAAAAGGAGTCGTTGGCACTGCAGGTTACATTCAATACTTTTTGAGTCTGTCCCAGTTTAACCTCACTTGAGCCTGTCTGGCATCCCAGTAGAGGAGGGTAATACTTGTTGTCATGGAGGCTGCCACATTTGGATACCCCAAAAATGTTCCTTGATGTGGGGCCTAACCTATCTCTGATCTAGCCAGAGAATAGGGACCCAGAGAGGCAAGCCCCATCTTCCTGAGGCAGCTGGAGCTGAAACATTTCTGAATATGGTGGCAGTGAGGAATATTTTGGTAGCAGTTGAGAAGCAGCAGAAAGGTGAGCCATGATGAGGCTGTAGTGATAGAAGGGCCCTGTACCTGTGGGAGTCATGGCAGAGATCTGCAGGGTGTTTCATCTGTGGTGATGGTGGCAGCTTCAGGAAGTTTCTAAATCTCAGGACAGTGTGGGAGAGGCTTCTGTCAGCCCAAGAGAGGCTATAGTAGAAGCAACCAGGACAGGTAGAGTGACCATGCCATTTACTTAACTGTTAAGAGTCAGAGGTAATCAGAAGGAAATCAGCATCAGGAGAGAGGACTGGCCTACTGGTACAGCTAAGCTGACTGGTGGGGGTGGGCCCCAGGGGCTGTCCATAGGAATGCATGCAAGGGGACTTCCCTAGGGGTACAGTGGTTAAGAATCCGCCCTCCAATACAAGAAACATGGGTTTGATTCCTGGTCCAGGAAGATTTCACATGCCTCAGAGCAATTAAGCCCATGTGCCATAACTACTGAGTCCCCACTCTAGGGGCCACATGCCACAACTGAAGCCCATGTGCCTAGAGCCCCTGCCCTGCAAGGAAGAGCCCCTGCCCTGCAAGGAAGAGCCCCTGCCCATGCCCCTGCATGCATCAACAAAGACCAAGTGCAACCCAAAATTAAAATACATACATACATATATATATGTATACACACACACACACACACACACACACAAAAGAATGCATCTGGAGGCCAAGTTATATTTAAACAATGAGACACCAGGAGAGGGGAGCCATCAAAGCCAGAGGATGGAGCAAGGAACTGGAGGGATGCTTAGGAGGGGGCAAACCAAGGGGCCAGAGCTGGAGGAGGGGGCCAAGGCAAGCAGAAGGCTGATGGGTGGGGGGAAGGGTTGGGATTGGAATAAGCAGTGTTGAAGGCAGTGTGGGGGCAGACTGCCTTTATTTCAGAAGAATTTTTCAGTTATCGCTCCTCAGAAGTGGAGTCTCAAATGGGGACGTATTCCAGGGCAAAGCCAGGAATTTAAGATCGCAGGCTCCTATTAGTGGGCACTGCTTAGTTTCACCCCTTTCCTCCGGTGGGACTGGTCCCACATTACACCATCAACATGCCACAAGCATTTCTGCTTCTGAGCATTTCCTTGACACATGTGTATGGATGGCCACCACTACCTGTGCCCACAGCAGGTACTACTAATTGGTTGTGGCCCTCTAACCACCCAAGTCTGGATGCTGTTTCAGAATTTTCAGAAGCCACTACAAGTACCTGTCACCTCTTTACCACACTTATTCAGCCCAGTTATTTCTGTTACGGTAATATAAGATCCCCTTTCCTTTAGGAACTTGCCTATCTCTGAATGCCTATAAATCTTATTGTCAGTCACCCTTGTTTTTAAATTTAGTTGTATATTTCCATAGGATATAATTTAGATTCCAATTCAGTCTTTTTAAATCCAGTTTACCGTGTGTGTACATCATGGGGTTCTGGTTCTACAAGAAGGTTCCTGAGAGCAGAGAGTATGTCTTATACCTTTTGGTTTTCTCCTCTGCCACCAACAATGTCTAGAATGGTCCTGTATTCATAACATGTATGTATGCATGTGTGTGTGTTTTAATGAATGAGAGAATTCTAGCCTGGAGAAATGCTGCATTTTCTGACCTAAACTTCAAAATCTTCTATCAAAAGGCAGTCCAAAACACCAGGTCAGCATCAGAGATAAGAATATGCGTCCTTAAATGCACCATAGGTTCTTAGCCTCCTGTACCTTGTAACAGTCAGATGAAACAGGAGCTGTCTGTCTAGGTCCTTCCTTATATTATCCTAAAATGGCCCAGTTGGAGGCTTCCTGGCAAGCAGGGGACATTGGATGATCTGCCTTACCCATCTGTGTATTATACCTGATAAAAAGGACAGTCTGGGGAAGCAGGCTTACCTATATTGCAAGGTAGGGATAAAATTATCTTCCTTGGCTCAAGTTGCAGGACACAGATGATGCTCACATTTGTTTCAGGAGGGATGGGAAAAGACACGCTGATAGAAACATTGTATAATTCCGTGATATTATTTTGATATTTCTTCATGACAGCATCATAGGTGATAGTTGAATTTTTAGTTGTTAGATTCACATACATCCCCTGAGGTTCTGGGTAACCTTGCATAGATGAGCAGGTCAAATTGATGATGTTAGGCTTTTCTGTTTGGTTAGCAATTAGACTTATTTCTGGTTGACTGAAGTTAGCTGAAAGCAGAATAGAGGTACAAAAAAAGAAAGAAAGAAATCAGTTTAAATTTGATGTATCTGGAATGGAATAGCAGATGACTAGGTACCCTGGGAACTCATTGGGAGTATACTTGGCAGCCTTAGGGTGTGTAAATTGTGGGCCTTGACCTATGGTGAGAGCCACATAATGATTCCACATTTATTTTCAGGAATGGAGTTTGGGGCCACCATGCTTCCTGCTTACCCCAATCAAGGAGGTGCTCTCTGAGCCACAGGAGGGCTAGCCCCTTCTGCCAGCCAAATCCCTTACTCTCCTTCTCTAATCACTAGGTATTGTACAGGTTCTACGTACTAACTAATAGTTGAGTATATTTTTCTATAATTTCAGTGATTTGTGTGCTATCTTTACAAGTTTTGCTCTATCAACCCACTACTTAAGCATTCTGCTTGTATTTGATGTGGCAATAGAAGGTATATTGCCAAGGTGTTACCTACTTTAAACCTCATTAACTATAGTTATTCTGGATCTAGTAATTCTGCACCTGGGTATCTATCCAGATAGAGATTTACATGAATGTTTATAGCAGTTCTATTCATAATAGCCCCAAACTTAAAACAACCCAATGTCTTCCATGGGTTGAATGGATAAACAAAAATGTTACTATTCATAGTAACAAGGAACAGACTTTTGACACATGTGACAACTTGGATGACTCTCCAAGGTATTATGTTAAATAAAAGAAGCTGGTCTTAAAAGATTACATACTGTATGACTTCATTTATTTGATAGTCACAAAAGATAAGTCTGTAGGAGGCAAAACAGGGGTTATGGGTATAGAGAGGGTATGATTAAAAGGGCATAGCATGGGGAAATTTTTTTTTAGTGTGCTGAAAATGATTTGTATCCTGTTTATATTGCTGGTTACTGACCTCTGGTGGCTCAGATGATAGAGAATCTGCCTGCCGTGCAGGAGACCCAGATTAGATCCCTGGGTCAGGAAGATCCCCTGGAGAAGGAAATGGCAACCCACTCCAGTATTCTTGTCCAGAGAATCCCATGGACAGAAGAGTCTGGTGAGCTACAGTCCAAGGGGTCACAAAGAGTTGAACACGACTGAACAACTAACACTTTCACTTTCTTTGTGTTGCTGGTTACATACATCTGTACCTAAGTTCAAATTAATAGAACTATACACCCAGATAAAAATGATTAATTTTATTGTATTTTAATAAAAAAAAATCTGTAGTGTCATTTAGGTTTTTTCAAGCTTGGAAAAATAGAGGAGCTGGTTTGTCAGCTTTTGGATTGTGTGCCTTGGGTTATTTCCCTCCTGTCTTCTGGGCTCATGATTGGGCAACAAGCAAGTTGTAAGCAACTTGCAGGAGACTGAAGGGAAATCCCCAATTATCCAGTTGTCACCCTTGCAAAGAACTCCAGGTAAAGATTTAGTGGGTGAGAAATCTTGGACTAAAAGAAAAAAAGGATGTAAAAGAGATTAGAGACCTGTACGGTTCATATAAACTTAATAATGTCCAAATCACCCATGGTTTTCACTTAGCTGCATTACCTTGGCTTAGTTAGCTCTAGCTGGTCCCCAGAGCAGATTCTTACAGATCCTTCAGAAGTAAGCCATAAATAGTACAAAGGATTTTTAGTTCCCTACTCCCAAGCCCTGCATTCCCCTCAGGCGGGCTTCCTAGACTTGGCTGTCCTCTGCCTCTCTCTCGAGGTACCCCCTTCCCCACCTATTGAAGTCTTATCTGAGAAGGCCTGGGATCTGAACACACCATTGACTACATACCCAACACTATCAGGTCAGAACTCATCTGGTGGATGGAAATCAGTCCTTGGGACCTTTTATGATGGATGAAACATTGATATGAGCCTGTGTCTTTGATTTGAACGTTGTGGAGTCGCAAGGTCCAACTGTCCTGGTCAAAGCTTGTGCGGCCTATATACTTGGGATGAACATTATTTGGCTTCTCTTGGCCTTTGAATAGCTCATAGAGAACCAACTTATTCTGATCCTGCCAAAATATCACCAGTTCGTCCAGGCTGAGGTTTTGAGTGTTTGGAAAGTGGCATGGCAGTTCTCCAGTCTCGTTGAAGAAGGCATGACTTTTCAAGGAAGCAGCACCTGAAAAAGGAATGGTGGAAACTGGGGAAGGAGAAACAAGAGGGAAAAATAAAAACCTCAGAAACTCCATTTCTCTTTATACAATACCCAGTTGCTATCTTCTTAGTAATGATCTTGAAGAAGAAGATATTAAACTCTGGAACAGTGCATACACACTGGTATGTGGAGAAAGGAAGGGGTTTTTGTTCTCATTCTACTGCTAACTGGTTGGCTTTGTGCAAACTGCAACTCCTGTGCAGCTTGGTTTTCTTATCTGTTTAATGAATGGGTGGACTAAACATTCTAACATTTCTTCCAGTACTGTGGTTCTGTGAATTTAAATGCCAGAACAGGAAAAGCCAGCAGAGTTATATAACTCTTTCACCCACTGGTTACCTTCCTATAATCTGGATATTAATTCTTTCCACCGTAGCTGTTATAGGCTCCAGTACTGCTTTACCATGACTGAAAGTTTCCCCCTCCCTTCCCTATTCCCTAATTCCTTGACCCGCTATGGAGAAAAGATTTCTGACCATGGTAACAAATGTGATATCCTTCCTTTCATTATGTCTTGTAGCTGGGAACCACAGTGAATAACATCTTTAAAATTCAAATAGTTCCCTTTATAGAGCTTTCCTCACGACTGCTTCTCCCACAGCCAGCTCTTTCAAGGATATAAAACAGTTTGGAAATGACACAAATGGTCAACCAAGGCCTCTATTCTGTAACCTATCTAAGCTCTTTCAGAGATCAGAAAGAGAACTGGGCAAATATGATGGTTGTTTTGGGATTGTGGTGGTCAAAGACCATTTTAGTACATGAATGAAATGCTGGAAATGAATCACAAGTGGGAAGGTGAGGATGTACTTTTGGAGTATTGGGGAATCCCCAGGTACCACAAACTTGCTCTCCTCAGCATGCATGCATTTGCTTTTGGAAACTTTTTCAAACCCTAGAGAATGTTCTGGGAGAGTTCAGAGAAAGGTTTTCATTCCTGAGGGCATATTGGGGTTTATATTTAGGCCACATAACTCCTAAATGCGATGGATTATAGGGTTTTGTAGGATTCATTCTGGATCACAGAATTACTTGAAACTTGCCAAGAAATTGTGGTGAGTGAGAAGTACAGGGTTAGGTGGTGAAATGCTGTTTCTTAGTTAACATGAAGTTAGATGCCACTTTGGGAAGGGAATTAGGATGGGTTCTAACTAAGCTTCATCATTCCAGACTTCAGTAAAGGGATGTTGACATTAAAGAGGAAAGGAGAGGTAGGTTGGCGAGGGAGATGAGAGATGTTACTTGAGGTGTTCTTGGGTGGTAGTAGGAGAACTTAAATTGATATGATCAATGGGTTTCTCTTCTTAAGAGAAATGGGTTTTTCTTTCTAAAAGAGAAATAGTGATATGCACTTGGCAAAACTGAAGTGGGTACAGAGTAGCCCAGTGAGAATGGATAAGCAAGGAGGGGATTGGGGTGGTCTTGAACTCTATGGGAAGGGACTCCAGGCATCACTGAGAGTCAGCACAAGTTTGAATCACTGCTTGTTGTGTTATACTTGCTAGAATACTGTGAAGCCCTTGAAAGTATAAAGTACAGTCTCTGTACAGCATGTATTTCCATAGTGGAGAGAGGTGGGAAAATCTACCTGGATACTTGGAACAGTGAAAGGGGGACTTAAAGACAACTTTCTGTTTTCAGTAACCACCTTACCAGGCACTCCTGGGATAATGTTCCTTTGCTAAACTCTGAATGATAATCTAAGGGTGCCACCTGCTGTAAAAGCTTCTAGCAACTATCTCTGGGGAAACTCATGCTGGTTTTATCACAAATTTGCCATATGATATAGAGCAGATGACCTAGTAGAGAAACCAAATACATAGTTGAAAATTCTGTCAGTTAACTGACATGGTATATTATTACTCAGCAGTCAGTTGTGCCTCTAGCCTGGAAATTACTTTGCCTTTGGCTTCTTCTGTCTCCCTGATTTAGGGTTGCATCTCTACACAGCCTCACAGTACTTCTTCTCCTGTCTGCCTGCTTTCTCCACCGACAGACGGATCCATGACCCAGGCTCCCTCTCTCAAAGATAAGAAGGAATTTTTCTTCCACCCATCCAACCGCTCCCCTCTCATCTAACAACCGAAAGTGTGATCTGTGTTTTAAAGGCATCAGCGTCACTCAGGGACTGTCAGAAATGCAGTATCTCTAGCCCTACTCCAGACCTTCTGAGTCAGAATCTGCATTTTTAACAGACCTCCAGTTTGAAAAGCTGCAGTAGAGTATTTCTATCTCTGTCTACAGTGGAAAAGAGTGATGATGAAATAGGAAATATCTGTTTCCACCCATCCCTCCCCAAACCTCTCTACACCCTGGAGTGGAAATCACTCTGAAGTTCCTTTTGAGTGGAACTGAAAGTATTTCACAACTTAGACTCCATAGTTCCCCACCAACCACTGGCTTCCATGACTTAACTCAGAGATATGCATGCTAATCACTTCTCTGACGATATAGGGAAGATTTAGCTCAAAGTCTGCTCTCTCTAAGTGGCTTCAGGCTTCCCCTGTTATGACCCTAAATTTAAGGCCACCCAGCTACTATATTCACTGGGCTCCCCTGGAGATTAAACATTGAGATTCTCTCTCTTCCCTGGCACTTGAGTCATAGAAATGGTCTGGGTCTAGTTATAACAGGCTTCCCAGGTGGTGCTAGTGGTAAAGAACCCACCTGCCAGTGCTGGAGACATAAAGGATCCCTGGATCAGGAAGATCCTCTGGAAGAGGAAATGGCAACCCATTCCAGTTTCCTTGCCTGAAAAATCCCCTAGACAGAGGATCCTGGTGGGCTACAGTCCATAGAGTCGCAAAGAGTCAGACATGACTCGAGTGACTTAGCACTTAGCATATAAATATGTTAGGAGATGGTCACTCAAGAATCCATTTAGACACCTCCAACGTCTTTATCAGGAGGACATTGCCGATAAAGTCCACTTTATCAGCTGAGGACTTTATCACCAAGATACTGTTTGGCTTTCACACAGAAACTATAGTCATCTAAACTTGTGAGGTCTCTGACCCCACCCAGGACTTCAGTTTTCCCCAGCTACTACCCAAATGCATATCTTATGTATTCTAGGTCATCTACTTCTCATATTACTATGCTTATCTGTACTCATGAATTTCCCTTCTTTTACTAAACTTCCTCCAAAGCCCTACCAGTGTCATTCCATTGTAATAAACTCTTTTATGTCTTCAACCTCTTCATCAAATGTTTCCCATAAGGTTGTGCTTTTGCCCCCAGCCACTGCTTGTTTTATGACACTTTACAGGGACCTTTAGTAACACTCTTCCGTCTTTAAGGTATTCTTCTCTTTCACTGCTGTTAGCTACTAATCATTTGTCACTACTTCCTTACTCACTGAAGATTTTTGGCATTAGATGCAAGGTCTTCCTTTTCAATCAATTGTTCCTATCAAATATCAAAGGTGGCTTTGGCATGGATAAGTTTACCAGCAACCATGACTCAATGTTCTTTGATCTTTGCCACTTGAAAGATCTTCATCCACAGGCTATTTCAGCAACTCCTTTCCCATGGCATAATCCTAAATCTTATTGCTAAGAACATCTCTGTCCCTAGAATCTTAAATCTCAATGTACCAATCTCTGTCTGCAAGATATCATCTTCCAAGATTTGCTCTTGATTACCTTCATCTGTTTCTGAACTTCCTCATGACTTCAGCTCTATCCAGTCTATACCTTATAATGCAGTGCTTTCCAAAAGCAGTCTCTTAGTAGGTAGGAGGTATGACTAAGATACTTAATTTTCATTTTACTTAATTTTAGCTAATTTAAATTTAAATAGCCATGGCTAGTGGTTATCATGTTGGATAGTGCAGCAATAGTATATTTTTTCAATTATTCCTTTGTAAGAAACTTCTGTAAACTTGCCCTTTTGTGCAGATTTCATTCCAAGAACAATCTACTTTTGATCTACATATCTGTTCTCATGACAATGTTTGAACGCTCCTGGAGAAAATTATTCAACTGATTATACTGGTGACATTACAAATCACTTGTCTCTAGTTCACTTAACTTGGCCTCTGGGCTGCTCACTCTACTTGGTAAACCCTCTCCCTTCCTCCCAGCAGTTACTTCAGCAGTACCCTCTGCTACTGCTTGTAGTTTCTCTTTCTCAAGTGAACTTTCTTAAAGACTAAGCAGTGATTGCTGTCTCCACCCTTGCTTCTGTCTCCACCTCGCTGATGAAACGTCCCTGGCAAGTGTTGTCAGTGGCTTCCCCCCATTGTTAAATGCAGAACACTTTTTAGACCTTATCTTATCTGACCACACTGTTGAACACCACACTGTTGGCAGTCTCTCCTTCTTGAAACTCCATTCTTTCCCAAATTCTGACATCCTGGTCAATTTCCTCTCATCACCCCTTAAGTAGTGACTAGGGCAGGGATGGTTCTCCAGGAGTTTTCATGGCTGAGATGATATTTCTGTTAAGACTAGCTTTGCTTTGATCTCATGCTCACTGTGGATCCCACTATAGATATAAATACATACACAGTTATGTACATATATTATAGGTATATAATATCTGTATATTTTATCAAATATATAACTATACTATATATTATATGAAATATGGTCTATTAAAATATATGAAGTATCATATAAGATAAAATGTAAAACATATCACTACATGTCAAAAAACTCAGCTCCTGGCAAGTCCAAGCCCTCAGATTGTACCACCCGCTGCCCCTTATAGTTGTTGTTATCCATCTTGTCTTAGGCACACCCTTATTCACTGAAGATCTGAGCACCTAGCTTCCCCATCACTGCCTTTGTCTAGGCAATTCAGCCCATTGCATACAATGCCCAACCTCTCTCTTTCTTGTCCTCTTTTCCTCCAGTATCTTGTCCTTTCTACCTCAGTCATCTCCTCCCTGGACCAGAATTCAGATCTTATTGTTATCACCTCACTTCCTAAAAACTCTCAATAGCAAGCATCTCACCTTGTGGCCACCACCTCTTACCTTT